AGTCAGGGAACTGCCTTAATGTTAGACTTTTCACATGACTGCAGTCTCCACCTGGTCCTGGGCATTTATGAGTGCACTCCACGTGAAAAGGCACCCCCACGTGAGGGGGAAAGATGATCCCAGCCACAACTGCATTTCCTCATTAGTGCTATTAGATGCAGTGTATGAAAATGTACAGTTGTCAGGACATCCCTAGATGTCAGTGCCACCAAACCATCGCCTGCTCCTGGAAATACCCTTGCAGAGTTAAATTCCATTGTAAAGTGAACAGCATATTTGGACTGAAATATTAAAGTATGACATAAGGGGAAATGTGAGGTGAGCACAAAAATGTAATCATCAAGTTCATTTTTTTAAAACATAAATGTGTCAGGAACCATTAGGGCATTTCTTTTGCAGGAGAACATCTTCAAGAATGTTTATAGGGATCATGGCCAGGGGACAGTTTGATGTGATGAGGTAGTACGTTCCAGAGATTCCATAGATAGTGTGCAAATAAATAGTTTTAGGGATGGCAGGAGAGAATATATGCAGTTTATAAACTGGATTTACTAGGTATCCAAAGGAGTGATGATTTAAAATTTGAGCATTTCAGGAACACAGAAGTCCTTTAGTACTGGGCACTTTCACTGGAATTATCAGTACTGTTCCAGGCCAGCTGTAATGTGCTGGGGGTGTCCTCACTCCTCTCATCATTGTCAGTCACAGACTGTGCATCTGCTAAGTTAATTAGAAAGTGCCCTAAATAGGAGAAACAAATGGGTATCACATCCTAGCAGTACTGTATATTATGTTCTTGGGGTACCGAGAAAATCCATATTCTCTGCAGTATTTCATATACAATACTGTGCATCTGCTAACACATAGCTCCTAACTGTCCCTCACTTGTAGGGACTGTCACCCTTTTTGAACAAAATTCCCAACGTTCCGCTTTCCTCCTCATTTGTCCCTCTTGGGTGTAATGCATAGAGTTCCTTAAAAAGTGTACTATTTTACTAACAAACGTTTTGAAATTTGCTATACTTTTCACCAAATGTCTAAATCATTGCATTTGTTTTTTTAAAAAGCACATACAAAAGAAAAGTATTATGAAAAAAAAGCAATTTTTGCATATTAATTCTTTGTGGCCCGTGTAGGGGGTGTATCCTTTGCCTATATATTGTGTGCTATCCCAACTATGAAATATGGGAGCTATGCCAACTGTAGTGGTCAGGATATTGCAAGACAGATACAAGATAATAATACATTGTTGTTCCTCATTTATATCTTCTCTATCTGATTTTTAAGTGACGGGACAAGGAAATATATCTCTTTTGCAGTTTTGGGAAGGGGTTTAATAACTTTAGTATTGTAGTCATACTGTAATTCACATAATCTCACATTTATGCTCCAAAGACATGCTGGTAGGTTATTGGCTCCTGTCTAAATTGCCCCTAGTATGTGTATGTATGAATGTGAGTTAGAGACCTTCAATAGTACTCCTCTTGAGGGTTAGGGACTGATGTGAATGTATTATTATTATACAGGATTTATATAGCGCCAACAGTTTGCTCAGCACTTCACAATATAACGGGAGACAATACAGCAACAATACAGTTCAATACAAGAGGGATTTGAGGGCCCTGCTCCTTGGAGCTTACAATCTAGGAGGGAGGGGCTAGTGGTACGAAAGGTAATAACTGTGGGGGATGGACTGTTTGGAAGAGTAGAAGATTCCAGTATTAGCTGAGGGCGGGATAGGCTTCCCTGAAGAGATAGGTTTTCAGAGATTGTCTAAAAGTGAGCAGAGTAGGCGATAGTCTGATAAATTGAGGTAGAGAGTTCCAGAGGATGGGGGGAAGCTCTGGTGAAGTCCTGGAGACGAGCATGGGAGGAGGAGACAAGGGAGCTAGAGAGTAGGAGGTCTTGTGAGGAGCGCAGAATACGGTTTGGGTGATATTTAGAGACAAGATCGGTGATGTAATTTGGGGCAGAGTTATAAATGGCTTTATACGTTATTGTTAGTGTTTTGAATTTTATCCGATGGGCAACGGGAAGCCAGTGGAGGGATTGGCAGAGAGGGGTGGCAGATACAGAACGGTTAGTAAGGTGGATGAGTCTGGCAGCAGCATTCATGATAGACTGAAGAGGGGATAGCCTGCGATTAGGTAGGCCAATGAGGAGGGAGCTACAATAGTCAAGGCGAGAGATAACAAGGGAGTGAATAAGTTGCTTAGTGGTTTCCGAGGTTAGGAACGGGCGTATCTTAGAGATGTTGCTGAGGTGAAGTCTACAAGATTTGGACCGTGATTGGATTTGGGGCTGAAAGGACAGATGGGAGTCTAGGATTACACCTAGTACCCTGGCATGAGGGGAGGGACTGATGATTGTGTTATTGATCTTGATGGAGAAATCAGGGGAGGGGGCACGGGATGGGGGGAATACTAAGAGCTCAGTTTTGGAAAGATTGAGTTTGAGGGAGTGGAGTGACATCCATGCCAATATGTAGGTTAGTAATGCGAGAGGAGACTGAAGGGGTGAGGTGAGGGGTAGAAAGATAAATGTACAATATATATGTAAAAGCGCTCAAATTGATGGCACTATATAAGTACCTGGAATAAATAAATACATAATATGCTAAAAAAAAGTCTTTAAATCTCTATTGATCTTGTTCCTCAAACAGTTTTAGATATTTTAGTCTTTTCATTGTCATACTCCCTTTGGAAGAAAAGTCTGCTGCACATTTACTTTCCTTTTTTTTTAAATATTATCTCTTTCTTTATTGTTGGCTTCCCTACACAGTCCAACATTGAAACTTCATGATCATTTTCTGTGGAACTGCAACACTCTACAAAAGTGTTTTTTTTTTTTTAATCTTCCTATTTGAAGGTTGAAAATTGGTGATGTTCATAGTCCGTTCTTTTTCATTGTCAGAATGTCTGCCAATTATAAGTTGGAAGTTAGTGATACTGCTTTTTTTACTGCAGTTTTTTTACTGTACAAAGAGAGTGTAGCACTTTAAACGTTTACCTGATAGTTATTAAAAGACCAAAAATAATGTCCACAAAAATGTATCCAATACACCACATATGTGCCCAGAGGACATGATGTGATGTAAAGCAGCTCCTTCCACTATCAGCAAGCACATAGAGCCTCTTACCAACAGGTGTTGACCCCCATATCTCTGAGTGGTCAAACAAAGCTTAAGATAAATGTCTTTACATCCACCACACACATCCAACTTGATCTGCTGTGCGTTGAACCCACTGAGCAGCCTGGACAGCCTCCCCAGTCAGGGGGGACTCCACTTCCTCAAGATGGATACTCAGCTCCCATAAACGTATATATCATAAAATGAAAAAGAGCAACCTCACGGTGTATCATCACTATATTAACATTTACTGAAAACAGTATGACCTCACATAAAATAAAACAAAGGCAGCATATCGAAAATCCTCAAACATCAACAGCAAGATGGCTGGGATAGTTAGAGTGATGACATCATGTGTCTGTAGCTCCACCCTATGCGTTTCATCATGCAATGACGTCATCAGGGGCACCACATGATGTCATCACGCTATCGCAGCCATCTTGCTGGTGCTGTTTGAGGATTTTTTATTTGAGGGATTTGTTTTATTTAATGGTTTTAAATAAATGTGAATATTCTTTATGCTACACCATGAGGTTGCTCTTTTTCTTTATACATTTATGGGAGCTGAGTAACCATCTTGAGAGAAGTGGAGTGATCCCTGACCGGTGAGGCTGCCTAGGCTGCTCAGAGGGTTCAGAGCTTAACAGATCAAGTCGGATGTGTGTGGTGGATGTAAGGACATTGATCTTAAGCGTTTGACTACTCAGAGATATGGCGGTCAACACCTGTTGGTAAGAGGCTCTATGTGCTTGCTGATGTTAAAAGGAATTGCTTTATATCACATTATATCTTCTGGGCACTTATTAGGTGTTTTGGACACATTCCTGTGGACAATATTTTTGGACTTTTAATATCTGTCATGTTAATGTTTATTTAAAGAGCTACATTCTCTTTTTACATGTATTGGATTTGCTGTCAACAAATCGAGTTAGCTGCTGTAATATTTGTGTCACCTGAGCAAGAATAATATTCTTTAGTTACAATAATGTTATTATTCATCTTAAATCGTCAGCTAATGGATGGTGCTTCAAAGGTCCCTAAATGTTCTCTGGATAATTCACAATTGTGTTTCCAGGCTGTATTACACTGACCAGCAATGTTACTTGGCTTGGGTCATAGCCTTCTGCCAAGTGCCCTGGGTGCTGAGCTTCCAACAGTTATATCTTCAAAGTCTACCTTGACAAAAATGTGGCATATCCATGATTCTGTGTCTCCTCTCCCTCTGGCAAAGTCCAGCATACATCCCTCTAGTGCTGGGACCAGGGGTGGACTGACAACTCATGGGGCCCCCGGGCAATAGGGGATCATGGGGCCCCTGTGTCCTTGCCCAAACTCAAAAAAGCCTATGAAAAAGGTACCAGGGGCATCTCATGGGGCCCCCTACTGACCCCGGCCCTCGGGCAGTGCCCAAGTTTCCAAATGGTCAGTCCGCCCCTGGCTGGAACGTGTCTTGTATGATTATTTCTCCCATTTGGGGAGGAAAGTCCACAGATTTGCTGAGTAGAAATTAAGTTTTGTGGGGAGTTGCTTGTCTCAGAAAGGGTAAGAATATTTGCTTGGGCGGTGAATTTATTTTGTGGAAAGTGTATGTTGTAAAGGAGACAGGCTCAACTGGTATTGTCAGTGGTAAACCATGCATCAGGTCCAAACACAGTAATCCCAACGTACACGTTCCTGAAATTGGCTGTTCAGTATATCTGGGTGCTGCACTGAGCACAGGCTGGGAACCATGGATATTCAATGTAAGGAAATATCACCAACACACCGAGGATTCCTCAAGCAGGTCCAAAGTTTTATTCTGTAGTCACATAGTGCAAATTAAGGCAATGTTTTTGAGCCATGCAGGGCCCCTTCACTTGCCTGGTGGCGATCAGCAACTTATAGTGGGACTGCAGCGGGCATTCTGACACTTGGGGGGGGGGGGCTGACTAACTGTCACTGACTACCCAGTTACATTAATACAGTGATCAGTGCTAATAAAAAGCACTGACAGTGTACTAATGGCACTGGGCAGGAAAGGGTTAACATCTAGGGCAACCAAAGTTAACTGGGTTAATTTTACTGTGTGCTGTGTGACTGTTTCACTGTCTCAGCACATTGCTTTGTATGACTTTGCTATTGTTTACATACAGGTCTCTCCCCTATTAGTGATACCTGGCAATTGCCAGGTGCCGGCAGGGAGTCACCGGCCAAGACCTGGTGATTGACAGCTGAAGCCGCCAATGGTGGCGCCGGTAGGGTGTTCGTGCCCCCTACCCGGAAATGCAAAATGACGTATATATATATATTATTTTGCGCAGTCCTGCCGTCCTGTAGCAGTATTTTTGCGATAGGGTGGCGGGAAAGTGGATAAAGCTGAAGTTTATTCTGCTTATATTTTGCCATCCATGATTCTTCCTGTTGCATTTTTAAATAAAACCTCACCATTTTCATTACCAATTATAGACCCAGTGATGTCCTCACTCTTTCTCTGTTCTTCTCTATGCAAAGCAGACAGATTATGGCTGGTGAAAGGGGCCAGCAGGGTGCTGTGCACAGCATCTTAAAAACATGACAGCACCCTGTCTCAGTGCTCTTTTCAAAAGCACTCAGCATTGCTTCAAACAATGGCTGTCTCTTAGGAGGAGTTGCAAATATCAAAATGCTTTATAGTGTGGATGTCATGCTGGGGAGTGTGGCAGTGAGCATTCATAGGCAGTTTATATTTAAATGTGATGCTGAACTTCCATGACTGGAAGAACACAAACCCAATCAATGAAAGGGATGAGTCAGGGACAGTCCAACTAGAGAGGAAAAGGCTAGATGATGCTGATTGTCCTCCAGCCAAGAAACAAGCAAGCTCTATCTGACTTGCTGCAGCTTCTAATGCCACTGTGGGAATCTAACATTGTGCAGAGAAATCAGAGGAAGCAATTTCAGTACAGTAGAGCCTGCACAACTGTGCAAAATGAAGAGAAAGACGGAGTTCAACTTTAAGATTCCGAGAAAACAGTTTTTTTGTTTCCTCCACATCAGCCATAGACCCCGGAGCCCCACAATGTCTGTATGTGAGAAACCCAGGTGACACATATACACTGTCCACAATCTTGCCAGCCAGTGCCTCACAATCAGGGGCAAGCTGACCATTTGGAAACTCGGGCACTGCCCGAGGGCCCGGGGTCAGTAGGGGGCCCCATGAGATGCCCCTAGTACCTTTTACATAGGCTTTTTTGAGTTTGGGCAAGGACACAGGGGCCCCATGATCCCCTATTGCCCGGGGGCCCCATAAGTTATCAGTCCGCCCCTGCTCACAGTATATACAGTACATGGAAACTGTATGCATGCACAACTATACATATAGAGGTGAAGGGTCTATGTATTGTTTAAAGTCACTTTAAGACATTTAGCAACATCTCTGACATTTAGGGTGATTGACAGCTTTACTGCCACCCTATAGCAAAAAATACTGCTGCAGGATGGAAGGACTGCGCAAAATCACGTATATATCTGTGATTTTGCATCTCCAGGGAGACGCGCACTCCTTACCTGCACCGCCACTGGTGGCTTCAGCTGTCAATCACACTGCTTATATGGGAGGTGCCCAATATACTATTATTATCATCTGTATGTATCAAGCTCTCCATACTCACTGGGATGAATTTGTGACATATACACAATCATCTATAGATCAGAAAAAGGAAATTAAATAATGGGCATTTAGGAAACTATATAACATGGCTTCTGGCCATCAACACTTTTTTTTTGTAACCAGTTCCGTGCTGCCCTATAGCGTAAATACTGCTACAGGGCGGCATGGGTGTGCAAAATCACGTGATTTTGCAGTTCCGGGGGCACTACCCGCACCACCATCCGTGGCCTCAGCTGTCAATCACCGGGTCCCAGCCAGTGATTACTCGCCAGCACCCGGTGATCACCGAGTATCTCCGACGGGGAAAAGACCTATATGTAAACAATACAGATCTCTCACCTGTCAGCTCCTGTACACTGCTTTGTATGGCTCTGCATAGCAGAGCCATACAAAGCAGTGTGCTTACAGTGAAGCGCACACACAGCCCCCATAGTGAAACCGCAGACAGTTAACCCTTTGATTGCCCCAGATGTTAACCCCTTCATGCCAGTGCCATTAGTACAGTCTCAGTGGTTTTTATTAGCACTGATCACTGTATTGGTGTCACTGGGGATGTCAGTGACACCAAATCAGTGCCCCCCAATGTCAGAATGCCCGCCGCAGTCCCGCAATAAGTCGCTGATTGCCGTCATTACTAGTAAAAAGACATACCGCCATTTGTAAACGCTATAACTTTAATCTAAACCAATTAATTGATTAATTTTTTTAGCAAAGACATGTAGCAGAATACATTTTGGCCTAAATTTATGACGAAATTTGATTTTTTTTTTTATTTTTTTTTATTGGACATGTTTGATAGCAAAAATATTGTTTTTTGTTGGTCTTTTTTTATTTAGTGCAAAAAAATTAAAAACAGGCGATCAAATACCACCGAAAGAAAGCTCCATTTGTGGAAAGAAAGGACGTATATTTCATTTGGGTGCAGCGTTGCATGATCACGCAATTATCAGTTAAAGTAATGCAGCGCCGTATCACAAAAAATGGCCTGGTCAGGAAGGGGGGTAAATCCTCTGGAGGGCAAGTGGTTAACATGTTTACTTTTATTTTGCATCTTTATGCCCTGGAAAATGGTATCATAAATCGCTTGCGTCAGCAAATGGTTTTCTTTACTTTCTATTTTATCCTAATAAAAAATGAATGCTCGTCAATTTCAAGGGGGTCACAACAAGTACACAATCTAATGACTTCTAAAATATAAAAAAGACTTTCCCATCAGTCAGTTTCCATCTGTTGTCTGCTGTGTACTGAGAGTTTAATATTAGCCTGTAGTGAAGGCATTTCCTTTTCCCGGATCACGGAGGTGTAATCGAACCTGCATCAAATGAGATTAGGAGTATGTGACTGCCAGCATATTCTCCTGCAGTTGACAAGTGCGTCAGTAGACACGTTTTACCGTTCCTGTCATTAAGGGACTTACATTTGTAAAAAGGACTATGCTAATGGAATGTTAAACATAAATGCTTCTTAAGGACCAAAATTGTGACAGTTCTATATGTAGGTGCTGAACAGGTGTATCTCTGAGGGTAATGTTCTACGAGTATCCACCGCCATCTGCTGGTTGGAATACATCATAGCTAAAGAGCACCGCAAGCTTGTCAGATACTGTGTGCTTGCTGTCAGTCTCCAAAGAATGTCTCTAGCTATGACTTGGGCTGGCTCACACTAAAAAGAATTTCCATTAACATGGGGTCCTGATAAAAAGTGCACACTCTTTAGGCTCCATGCACACAGGGCATTTTAATAACACTGGTAGCGTTAGCTGTGTAAAGTCACGTTAAAAACATGTTTTTCAGTGTTTTTTAGCATCTTTCCATCAGCATGTAGCCGCATTTTTTCCATGTTTACATTTTTAGCACAAAAAAATTACAAAATTTTAGCTACAAAAAAAAGCCCAAAAACGCCGGTTTGCCACATATCTCGTTTTTAAGCGTTAGAGCATTTTTACAGCTAAAAAAACTCCTCTAGAAACCCACTAGTTATGTTTTTTTTTTCCAGCCAAAAAACACTGATTACAGTCTATGTGTGCATGGACACATAGGATAACATGCTGGGGAGTTTACTGGCTGTAGAAAAAAGACGCCAAAAGCCAAAAAACGCTGATTACAGTCTGTGTGTGCATGGGCACATAGGATAACATGCTGGGGAGTTTACTGGCTGTAGAAAAAAAAACACCAAAAAATGCTGATTACAGTCTGTGTGTGCATGGACACATAGGATAACATGCTGGGGAGTTTACTGGCTGTAGAAAAAAATGCCAAAAGCCAAAAAATGCTGATTACAGTCTATTTGTGCATGGACACATACAAAAACATGCTGGGGATTTTATTGGCTGTAGAAATAAACACCAAAAGCCAAAAACAGCCGCTGTAAATATGTCCAGTGTGCATGATGACTTAGAGCTCATTTACAGCATTTTACCACTCAGGAAAATGGATCTCTTTATTTGTGACCTGCTTTATTGGCTGTAGACTGTTCATACTGGCTGACTTGTATATTAGTAGAAGCTTTGCCACCAGCCGTACTGTTCTAGTGACTGGTTAGAGCCCAACCCATGCACCCTCGCAGGTTGGGCTCTGAGGCCATGGCCTACCCCTGTTGTGAAGCTTGTATATGTATGCTATTGTACCATATAGCTAGGGGTGTACTTACTGTTTAACCACTCTCCATACTAACTTGCTGAGATCAGCCACGCAGAGAGAACGCTGTTTGCAAGGAATCGACACAAGCACTTGCATTGTGAGCAGAAGCAGTAAAGTATAACCACAATGTAAAACTGCAGAGGAGGAAGCAGAGCCTGCATATGTAATGTTTTCTAATGCACTAACTCACTTTGATTACATAGTTTTTCATTCCGTGTAAAGATTAGTACACACTACTATCGAACAAAAAAAACCTGACAGCTCAGGAGAAGCCACTGTACTAACCATCCAATATTAGCACAGCGATCTCCCCTGCTCTGCTATTGTGTTTTGACAGAGGCAGCCCCCCTGCCAGACCACTATGGTCGGAGCTGTCAGCCATTGACCGTCAGACCTTTTTAGGTCATGCCCCCTTGACAGGAGCTGACCAAGCAGGCCACCCGACATTCAGCCCGTGTGTACTAGGCTTAACTCTGACAAGCAAGATGAGTATTTCTAAATACTGTCTGAAAGCAAAGAAAAGAAGCTGTTGCCAATTTGAAGTTTCATTCTTCAGCTTGCAATTGGAAAATAACAATTGTGATATGACTGGTTTCTATGGCTATGAAACAGCTATGCTCTTCTTTATTTCTAGTTTTCCATGAATTAGTTCAGCCAGGCAGTAGTGAATGTTAGTACAGTATGGAACATCTCCTACAGCAGCTATCAGGGTAGCACATAATAAATACACATGAATACTATTACATTATTAGGCCTTGGAAGATTAAACATGTGTGATCAGATGAAAGGAGACAATGTGCTGAAATCTCAATATAGAATTCTTGGTAACTTGTGAGCATATCAGATAGATAAGAAATAGGACAAAGACAAGGATAAGACATACAAGTTCATCTGGGAGGAAATAACTTTGCAGTTTTAGAATTCCAGAAGTTCTTACCAATATTTAAACCAATTTCTTGTAATGGTGAAAAAGATCCCTATCATACCCCCCACACATACAGTATCCCTTCTGATAGGTGACTTCTTCTCCAGCCTGCTGATTGGACAATGAAGCAGCAGCAGAAAATAAACTATCCCTGTGCTTTCCTCTCCTGTAAATATTTGCATCTTGTTTGACTGTATTGTACAAAGTATTGGACCCCTCATTAGACCAAAGTGCTAGCCCTCTAATTTGCAGATTGCTGCTCTACAGAGGATTACAGATAGTTAATATGAAAAGAAATTTAAATATTTAGATTAGCTACATTTTATACACACACACACACACACACACACTTAGGTCCATATATATTTGGACACAGGCACAATTTTAGATTTGTTCAGATAATTACCAAAACATATTCAATCTTTAGTTATATAATGGATATGGGCTGAAAGTGCACATTCTCAGGTTTAATTTGAGGGTATGTACATCCAAATTGGAGGAAGGGTTTAGGAATTACAGCTCTTAAGAGTAACCATCCCCCCTTTTTCAATGGACCAAAAGTAATTGGACAATTGAATCAAAAGCTGTTTCATGGCCAGGTGTAGGCTACTTCATCGTTATTTCTTCATCAATTAAGCAGGTCTGGAGTTGATTCTAAGTGTGGTATTTGCATTTGGAATCTATTGCTGTGAACCTACATCATGCGTTCAAAAGAGCTGTCCATGCAAGTGAAACAGGCCATTGTAAGGCTTCAAAAATGAAACAAATCCGTAATGAGAGATAGCAGCAACATTACAAGTGGCTAAATCAACAATTTGGTACATTCTGAGGAAAAAAAAGAACGCACTGGTGAGCTCAGCAACATAAAAAGGCATGGACGTCCACAGAAGACAACAATCGCAAAATCCTCTCTATGGTAAAGGAAAAAACATTCACAACATCCAGACAAGTGAAGGATACTCTTCAGGAGGTGGGCATATCATTGTCAAAGTCTACAATCAAGAAAAGACTTCACGAGAGCAAATACAGAGGGTTCACAAGGTGCAAACCATTCATTAGCCTGAAGAATAGAAAAAGCCATATTAGACTTTGCCAAAAAAATCTAAAAAAGCTAGACCAGTTCTGGAAAAGTATTCTTTGGACGGATGAAATTAAGATTAATCTGTACCAGAATGTTAGGAAGAAAAAGTGTGGAGAAGGCTTGGAACAGCTCATGACCCAAAGCACACAACATCATCTGTAAAACATGGTGGGGGCAGTGTGATTGTATGGGCATGCAAGGCTTCTAGTGGCACTGGGTCATTGGTGTTTATTGATCATGTGACAGAAGACAGAAGCAGCCGGATTAATTCTGCAGTGTTTAGAGATATACTGTCAGCCCAGATTCAGCCAAATGCAGCAAAGGTGATTGGACGGCGCTTCACAGTACACATGGACAATGATCCAAAACACACTGCAAAAGCAACCCAGGAGCTTTTGAAGGAAAAGAAGAGGAATATTCTGCAATCACCTGATTGCAATGGCCTGTTTCACTTACATGGACAGCTCCTTTGAACGCATGATGTAGGTTCACAGCAATAGATTCCAAATGCTTACCCTCAAATTAAACCTGAGAGTGTACACTTTCAGCCCATATCCATTATATAACTATAGCTATGAATATGAATATTTAAAGTGGAAAAGTTTATTTAGTATATGAAATTATGTTGAAAACTGCTGCAAACACATAAAGAACACATAAAGGGAGATTTACTAAAACTGGTGCACACAGAATCTAGTGCAGCTGTGCATAGCAACCAATCAGCTTCTAAATTCAGCTTATTCAATTAAGTTTTGACAATAAAATCTAGAAGC